TCAACCACACGAACTGGAAAATACATAAATTAAAAGTAATACTCCAAATAAGTGCTTATTTCATATTGCAATTAATTTTAAAAATTTATTAGTTCCCTTGAAGATATTATATTATGAGTGCAAATTTATTTATTTATTTATTTCAAGTGCCTGGCGCTTTGATAGTTATCATTAGCCCATTAGTTGACTTCGGGCTTCACAGGGAGGAGGAGGAACATCAAAGTAACAGAAAGTCGAGGGATGAGGAACAGAAAAGTGATTCACAGATGTAAAAGAGACAGAGAGACACAAAGGCAGAGAAAAGTTAAGATGAGTGCTGTGGAAGTGGTGGAATATGACATACAATGGTGTCATGGTAGTTTAAAGTCCGAAGTCAGCTTATAGACTTTTTTGCCGTATGAGTATACTTTGCCCAGGGTGTACCACGTGGAGGTAAGTCTATCGCACTCCTCTAATGAGAACAAATACTTTTCATAAATGAAAAATTGTAAGTGAATCCAAGAGAATCATCACGGAAACAGAAATGCATGAGGACTGCATTTTCAGAGCTGTTGAGATGTTAGTTGTGGTTGTACAGAGATATGCATCTGTCGCAGCCACAATATTTGTCACAGCTTACCAAACTATTAACCCCGGTGCTTAAAATTGATAAGAGGTTGAATGGTATGAGGGTATATTTTCAACGGATGGACAGTGTGATACCCTCTAATTAAGAATGATGTTAAAAGGATTAGTGAAATACACTATTGCTCTAATTTTAATACATTTAATCACTTTAACCATAGATATTATTTTCACGTTGCCAGGTTTTCGCTTTCAAAAACGAAATGGCAAAAAATATACCCCTGGGAACGCAAAACCATTTCAAGATAAGCATTAAAAGGAATAAGAGCAATTAATAACTGAGAGTTATAAAGCCACCAATCATTTACTATTTCGAATCTGTACTGCCTTGGCTTAAGTCATATTTTCAAAAAGATATTTAAAAAAAATTATATTATTAATTTCGGTAAAATACAAAGATAATGACAGCATCCAAAACTCCCCCCCCCCCAATAGAGGTAGTCGTCTATGGCCGCCAATGATTAATTAAATTATGTTTGTCGGCAGAAACCGCACTCTAGACAGTTTGGACATTCCCTTCGCAAATCCTTCCAGTTTGGACGTCAGCAGAGCCTTCCATCTGGTCAATCCACTCTTCCAAGCACTGGACAGCAGCATCAACAGATGGCAAATACTCTGGGCGCCGTCCGAGGTCCATTCGCTTCCTACCCACACTACCGATTTTATCGACCAGGCATGCTACCCTCACAAGCCCTGATGCAAAACCACGGAATGCAAACCGTTTTCCAATACCCAGTACCTGCACCCGGTGCTACAGGGCTTAATCGACTTCCCCCCACTCCCATTATGCAAGCAAGAACATTCCATAGAGCCACGTCAGTTCCTATCCAGACTCAGACTGGACCACAGATTCAGCAGGGACAACCGGTCTATTCATCGGCGTATGTCACTACAGCTGTTCAGTCTCTACCTCCACCAGGCAGAGGTATGACATGAGTTTATACATATATATATAACAACTAAACTGGTCCTTATTGCCATGATTATAGGTCATGAAAGTAAACCCTACTCACAACTCTATTGCGAATCAGTGATTTTATCGACTAAAATGGACCCTTTTCACTTTTAACCGGTTTTTAACGCTTTTATTTTAAGCAAATTGTCTAATCGAACGAAGAATTGTCGTGAAAGCAAATTGTTAGAGTTTTATCTAGAAATGAGTTACTAATAGATTGATGCTATTAAATTGTGGTTTCGTTGTCAAGATTTGGAGACACATTTTCCCCGCGGTAAGTGTGAATTTGTCAGACATTGCGGTAGAGGCTAATTAAGCGGGTGGCCAATCACTTCATTAACCACATCGATTACTTAAAAGTGCCGGAAAAAATCGCATGCGTTTTAATTCAATATTGACCTACGTATTGGTGACCTATCGTCACTTTTCTTGAATGAAGTACAAAATTCCTCTATTCAAACCAATTAATCAAAATTACTAAACCATTGTATCATAGGAACGTGTTAGACCAGATGGATTACCATTCTTTGTGTTAACTTTTTAACGAAAATGAAAAAATTGAAAGTTGAAGGGTTCATTAAGAACTTGTAAATTAAAGGCATTAGTTGGTAAATAACTTCATGAACTAGAGTTTGCATCAATTTGATTTTAGTTAGTAAGCTATCTACTTTTCAGTTACCACGCGTTTGCAAATGAAATAGAGCTATAGCAAGGGGGTTAATAAATAAGTGGAATTTTCGGATGCGCCTGTACATGGATAGATAGACGGATGATAATAAATCCATTTGTTAAAGGCTTATATACAGCCAAGTGGCAACTAAGGCCTTAAAAGCAGATTTTCTACATTTTGGTATCATTTTCCGCCTTTACTTCTGAAGATTTTATTTAAGAAGCTAATTTACCTCACTATCTTGAATTAAGAATTATCATATTGGAGTAGTACGCCGGCCAGACAGAAAATATAAGATGAGTGGTTACAGGCCCGAATGTTCAAGTTTTAACTCATTGGTCTAAGAAGGCCTTCTATCTTTCCGGGGTAAGTTCCTCCAGACTAGTTGAAGAGCCCTCAATTTTAGAAGAATTTGGGTGTCCTTGATTGGGGGGTGGGGTGGGCTGTTCGGTAAGCCGATGCGTTTTATGCCTTTAAAAATCTTCCTGCTGTAAAATAAGGCAGATTGACTTTGGATAATTTAGTGTTTTTGGTTTCAAAAAAACTTGGAATTAGTAAATTGCAAGCGGCTAGGTAATAATTGTCGTTTTGTTAGAATTAAGAAAAAAAATCAATACCTTTTAGATAGTTGGAATAATATTGGCAGAAATTTTTTGGTGCGACGATTAGCAATACCCGGGGGGTAATTCGTCGAAATACTTTTAGACAATGGTGGACAAATTCCTAATGCGGCATAAATTTTTCTTTTGCAATTATCTGAAAGCTTGATGGCCAATTAAAATCTCCTCCTTTAAATCTCATTTGGATCTGGATCGATTTGCCTTAACATTTCTTAAGCTTACACTTTATTATTAACAATTCATAAACATTCAATTTTTAATTTTAATGAAATTAAAGTACTCCTTTTATCAGTTTCCAACAAAAAGATCTTGCATCATGGCAGGTTTAAAGTTATATGAGCAGTAATAAAGCCCTGAGTTTGTAGATTTTATCAATTTATTTTTTTTCTTTCGATCATCCATATGTTTTAAAATGCGCGGTAAAGTTAAACAAATTAGAAATCAGTTTATTTTAGAAGTAAATTTTCTTCGTTTGGCTTTATTAATATTCTCTGGTCAACTTTGAATTTTTTAATATATTAAAGTTTTTTAATAATTTTAGAGATTTGTTGAAGTATAGATTTGAAAATTTGAGAAAAAACGTATGAATTCGTTTTTACGTTGGATTTTTGACCTGATTAGGAGAATTTTCAGTGAAGAATATTTGGTTTTACTGACGTTCACAAATCATTTGCCCCCAAATTAGTGAATCATTTTTTGCATTGCTTTAATTTGACCCCTCAAAATACACTTTATGTTAATACTTTTAAAGTGCACAGAATGCTTTACAAAACGCCATAAAAACGTTTGAATTAATTTTTTTGCACAGTGTGCACTAATTTCTTGCCTACTAACTTTCGTACAGCTATGTATTCAACGCAATCATTCTTTTCTGCATTCTCTTTGTGGCCATATCTTGACACCTTTTGAATTGCTGTACGACCGAAAGGTTTTCAAATGTCTTCAATATTAATTTGAAAAAAAATTGATCGCTGTTAGGTAAAAATCTCTTTAAAGTTACTGATCTATTTTGCATTTTTTTCATGTTTTAACCATTAATTTAATAAATATCCCTTTCCCCCTTCCACTTATAATAGAAATCAGTTTGTCTACCGGTAATTGCAATCTTCTTATAGTGAAGATGGAACGGCCAATAGTTGAAATGGGTGTATGTATTTTATTTTTTTCCAAAACAAAAACACAATCTGGATGACATTGGCATCTATTTACTCCCACTGTGTGGTCGCTTCCCCAATACCGATCCTCTCGAACATTCTCTATTTTATGTTCCTCGTTACAACAGACAAAATAGTATTCACAATACTACCATGACTAAAGGATCTATCTGATCGTTGTGTTTTTTCTTCACAATAATCATTCCTGAAAATAAGCTGATAAGTGTCTAACAATTGTTTTAAACTTTAACTTTTGAAAACATAGTTGTTTTTATTCAGAAAAAATATGGAGGAATGGAAAATCTTCTGAGCGACGAAAATACCTGTTAGAACAAGGGAAATTTCCCAACCCCCTGCACTTCTAGATTCGTCGAAGTCTACTATCGTAAGCTGGAAATTGGACAGAGATTTGAATAGATTAGTTTTATTTCGATAGAATGGTAAGAAATTCAAATGATAGCGTGCGTTGTGACTGAAAATCGGCAAGCCGTTCAAATGCCGATTTAGGT